CCTATCATAAAAAAATAGGTTGTGAAGAGACAAGTGCATTTTTTTTTTTGCCACAATAAAATTCATAGCACCAAAAGAAATAAAAAAGCGACAGCAAAGAAACATGTCAAATGCAAGAGAACAAGAGGTAGAGTAGATCAAGTAGGGTGACTACATCAAGAGATGGGCGAGCAGCTATGGAGCTACTTTACAATCAAGACAAAAGACAAGAATCTATTCGGGATCCGCTGAAGTATTTTGTTTTGGCCTCTTAAAACCGGCATAAGATAATAAACTGGCATATTTTGGCATATTTGGGTTTTTCCTGGCCTTTCTTAGCAAGATGTGCTCACATTTGCTTCATGGTTCCTCTGTTAGAAACACGCAGATTTGCTAAAAAGCAATTTAGATCTACAGTTATCTTTATTTCAGTTTGACTTTGTTGTGATGTCCTGGTACGGACTTCGCGCCAGTTCTTATTGTATTTATTGACTTTCTAAACGGATCGTGACTTCGATACACCAAGGCCCTCTGTAATTTATGTTAACCTACTAGAATAAATGCGGGATATAAAACCAAAACCCACCACTGATATCAAGTGATTCAGACTGTTCAGAAACTACTTGAGGACAGAAAATAGAGAGGATATAGACCTAGTTCTATCAATGATAGATATTAGTACTTTTACCAATGGCCATGTCATCCCAAAAAATGAAAAGCATCTTATGAGATCGCAAATATAATAGTAACTGGAAGAAAACATACCCACGGTTCAAAAGATCTTCAGACGGATTAGAGGCAACATATTGTTAACTGTGTCAGTGCACTGTTGCACCAAGAATTAGTAGCATATCAAATCATGAAAAATCTGAAAAACACAGGATGAAAACTGTCAAAAAGCCAGTCACAGCTTATTGCAACAGTGACTCCTATCCTAGGCAAAGTAATGATAAAGTTAAAGGCAGCAGAGTTGCAACTTGCTGTAGCCATGACCTGCCATTGTGCAGTACACACAATTGATCATCTAAGTAAAATCATAAGAGCGCATGGCCAGGGAGTACATTGGAGCACATACAGTTGCATAGAACTAAATGTTCATGTCTAATAAAAAAAAATATTACATCGCCTGCACTTAATGCAGTGGAGTTCATGACAGTGGGTAAGTTAGTGGAGAGGTAGAGGGAGGTTGAAGGAGACGATTTTGGACAGTTACAAATTATGGCATGGAACATCATCTGTGCCGTAATTTATTGAAAGTACACGCGACAGAGGGTTGTGGGTAGACGTGACTTCCTATGCTACATATAATTCCAGAGAAATTTGACTAAAAAGCTCAACAAAATGGGGCTGCCTTTGTCAAACTACACAAAGATGCTACATAGCATGGACTATAGGAAGAAGTATTTATAAACTAGCGTTTCTAGGACATCCGCTAACTTTTTATATATTTAGAACATTAAGAGGTGTAGCAGCCGCCAAGCTAGCTACAACCTCCCCTCGATAAATTAGATAAATCCATTTTGTGAGATTGGCTTGGATTGGCTTTTTACCCCACCAGGACATCACACAAGCGATAAACACCCGATGACACAAAGTGCCACCATGCGGATGAGGATCACCGTGGAGAGGTCCCAGAAACCGCGTTCAGACATTTGGCCATAATGATGACCTGCCTATATTGCGGCCCCTGGCAAAAGCCAGAGTGGGGCTTCAAATAACAAAAAATAACGTCCTAAGAAGGACGTAAGGAGTAAAGTTATCATTTTGTGAGAGACCGTTTGGTTACGACTACATCTGCTCATTTGTAGCGGAAATTACGCTGAAACTTTTGTACAATGCATTATGGAAAGATGTAAAGTATTTCTGCTGTTTTGATTTATTTGTTTCAACAAACCCCTATCCTGTTTTTTATGTTTGCGTTCGACTAATTACTAAAAAGCATGTGACATTTAAAATGAAAAGCTGGATGAACTGAACTGAACTGAATTTCTACCCCACCAGGACATCACACAAGCGATAAACACCCAATGACACAAAGTGCCACCATGTGGATGAGGATCGCCGTGGAGAGGTCCCAGAAACCGCGTTCAGACATTTGGCCATATATGGCCTGCCTATATTGCGGCCCCTGGCAAAAGCCAGAGTGGGGCTTCAAATGACAAAAAATTTCGTCCTGAAAAGGACGAGATTTGTTATAAACAACAAAAAAGCTGGATGACAACTCCATAGACTAAAGTATTCACAGATTATCAGGTTATTTCCCTTAGTGATAATGCAGGTTGACCTTATTGGTGATTTTCGGAACAAGAAATATGCCATTTATTATAGATGAGTTGCAAAGATTTTATCACATCTGAGAAAATGCTCAAAGATTTTACATCCGAAAGTCTTCCACTTGTTCCAGTGAGGATGACAGTAAAGAATTCAATCTAGAGCTTTTGATGTGAAGCGAATAAAATGTTATACTTTATCTGGCATTTTCTGGCATATTTTGGGCAATGGTTTGGCATAAAATTAAGTTAAGTATATGGCAACCCTGCTGCCAGACACGAATGTGATTGTGCACGTCCACAACATCCGGTGTTGGAACTGAGACATTCTCTAACAGTGTTGCCACTTTGGATCTTTTACATCCAAATTTAGATCTTTTTCATTGCATTTAGATACTTTTTTGACGTTTAGATCGTAAATATTTTTCTAGACGCTTTATATATTGAGTTAGATATTTTATAGATTTTATTTTCATTTATTGTCAATTTAATAATTACTGTGTAAAATATTTACTACAATATTTTCGTTTTGGCCTGGCACGTACATTGTGACAACTGCCATTACTTTAACTTTGAACTCTCACTGGGGTCAACGCACAAACATATGGCAGCCCCGGTACTGATTAATAAAAACGCGCGTAAATCATACTTTGTTTCAACCGTATCCTCACTGTGCTGACTTTGCGTTTCTTTTTCATGTGATTAAAAAAAAAATAATTGCTCACCTTCTTATGTGTCTTTCACTTTGAAAAAAACTTTTCAACATGTCAAAAGTAAAGTATGAGCAAACAATTTGGAAAGAGTGGTTGCATGATGACAAAATTAAAAACTGGGAATATGACCAAAGCTTGTTGTAAGTACTGCAAGTGTGAAATTAAAGCGAAAATACCAAACTCAAAGAGTCATGCAGAGACTAAAAAAGCATAAAACTTCAGTTTCATTTAAAGATATTACACCGCTGACATCTGTTTTCAGAACTATACTAATAAATGAATCATCAAAAGTTGAAGTATCAGTCGCAATGTTTTTAATTTGTCACTGCGCAATTTCAAGCTGTGACCATTTGATCGATTTGTAAAAAATCTTGGACTAGTTCAATTTGAAAAGTGTGATGTAGAAAGTATAGTTTAGGAACCGAAGGACCTTTTAATCAGCAAACAGTTAGGCTTGAAGAATTTGGCTGTAATTGGTACTGATAATGCCTCAGTGATGGTTGGTTTAAAGAATGGCGTTTATGCCAAGTTGAAGAAAGCTAACCCATCGTTAATACTTATAAAATGTATGCGTCATTCATTGCAGCTAGCATTATCACATGCTTCATCTAAATATTTACCAAGGAATTTGGAATACCTTATTGCTGAAACACTTTACTGGTTTTCCAAATCATTTTTTCAGACAACAGAATTACAGTACATTATATACAGCCTTGAATGATGGTTCCACACCACCGACAATTCTGTCAGATTGCAAAACTAGATGGTTATCAATTTAACCAGCTGTTGAAAGAATTATGAAGCAATGGCTGAAGTTGAAGACACTTTGAAATAACAAGACAAAGTGAAAAGTGCTACACAGCTGAAATACTATATGGAATGTACAGTGATGAAAAAAATGCGTCATTCATTATCTTTTTATAACCTATTTTAATTGAAGTGCAAAAAGTTAATAAACTGTTCGAATCTAAACTTGTTGATAAAGTTAAATTACTTGATGATCTCACCTTGCTATTTCACTCGGTAAAAGACTGGTGTTGCCAACTTCTAAAACTGATTTGCTAACTTGCACTATAGAGAGCTATTTGGCTCCTAAGCCACACCTTGGATATTAAATCGAATCAAAAATTGATGATTTAAAAACAAAAGGACTGTTAACAGAGAATGAAGAGAACAACTTGAGAAAACGCTGTCAAGATTTCCTTATCTCATTATTGAAGCAATTGAAGCAGAGACTTCCTGAAAATCTAGATGTTTTGAAAAATATTTCACTTTTTTTTTTCTGTGAGCAACATACTTCAGCCAATAAAGGACATACCTAAATATTGTAAAGTTATGAAATTTTTAGGAGCTACTGATAATAGTGTCGCGGAAGCAGAATATTAGTTAATCAAAATAAAGTTACCTGAATGGACAAACAAAACAGAAACTAAAGCGTTTTGGAGTGAAGTGAGACAATTCAAAGATGCCTCATCAAACAGTCCATTCTGTAAGCTCTTTAGAGTGCCATGTCTGCCATGATACTACCCCACTCAAATGCTGACGTAAAAAGAGTTTTCAGTGCTAGAAATTTTATCAAATCTAATCTTTAAAAAAAGGATGAAATTTGACCTCTTAAATGCTATCGTGCCATTAAAATTCGGCCTGATGAGACTAGAGAAATAAGGCCACTGTTCCACTTATAAAGAAATTTGAACAGCTAAAGCATACCAGGGTAATTTTGGATCTGAAGCTTCAACTTCATTATCCAAGCTAAGTTTATCCTGTGGATCTTGTGAGGCAGACATCAGTGAAGGTGAGGACATGATTATGTAGGGTAAGTCATAACAAAAGCTATGTAATTTTTGACTTTTTCAATTTGGATGTTTTTTCTAGATCTTTTCCACGCAGATTTAGATCTTTTTAGATATTTTGTGACACCGTTTTGGATATTTTTTGTCAAAGAAAAGTGGCAACACTGTATCTCTAAGGAACAAACACCAACCGCTGACATTCTTTGAACAGTCTTTTTCTTTCAGAGATTCTGTCGAACTCCACGATGCGTCCCGCTGCTATTGTTGCTGATGAAATGTTTCCGGAAGGCGCTGGGTCATACATGGACATGGAAGAAGTAAGTTAGTTGTATATATTATTATTGGCGTAACTTCCTCCACTTCAAGAGTTTCAGTACGATGGCGACATGTATTCATGTAACTCTAAAACTGTTTTTAGAGTTGGAGAATCAGATCTTGATGGTGTTTTCATTTTGTGTATGACTGCTTAATCATAATCACCTACTTGTGAAAATAATTATTTCTGTCCCCAGCAAGCATGTAAATTCCACATATTGGGCTAAAATGCTCATGCGCCACTGGATCGATAACAACAAGCTCCCAGCAAGCATGAAATGTATACATAATGATGATGTAATTGTCGACTATTGCAATTGCTATTGCCTTCGAAGTCAGAATACATCTGCCCTAGAGGTGACAAATAACCTGAATATTTAAATAAAGTAAGATCAGGCAAAAGCAAAGTTCTGGAAAAAGATAAGGCAAAAAATGGATGAACAACCAGTACAGTTTGTTGATGTGCGGAAAAAGAAGAAATTAATTATTTGATTGATAATATTAATAATTAACATAATAAAAGTATTAATTAATATGATTATATGCCTGTAGTTTTTCAATTTTGGGATATACTGATATACACCATTTCTAGAAATGTCATTTCAAGCAGCAAAAGGGTTTCTAATGAAAATATTAGTAGCATCAGGTACCCTATGCTCTGCTGGCATAAAAAGGGCCCTTGCTATATATATATCTATGTGTGTGTATGTATGTATTGCATGTGTGTATTTAGTAAAAGCATGCAGCTTGTTCAAGTATTGGATTGTTGGTAGACCAAATATGAAATGATAGATTTATTGTCAGAATAAATGAGTGAACTACTCTGTGTGTGGATGATCACACACTGCCTGGATAGATAACAGAGTTCTTGAGATGTATTCTGTTTGTGAGCCGTAGTGGTGCAGTGGCTAAATCATTGCCTGATGGCCCGCAGTTAGGCAGCTTTTAATAAATGTCATGGGCTTCTACTTCTAGATCAATCCAACTTAAACTGATACCAGAGAATGTCCTAGGAAATAAATGTGGCTAACATGATGTTGACTGCCTGACCCATCAAGCTCTGCTTGGTCTATAAAATATATGGGTTACGGGCCTGATGCAGTAGTGGCATAAAAATAAGGCTTTCCTTTTTGTACCCTTACGCCCCTATCCCTCCCCTAAAAAAGATTTACATTCATTATTGAAAGCAGTATGTGCTCATGAAATATTATGTTCACGCAGGCCGGGGGATCCACAGCACTGCTGATGGATTTAGCAGCCAACGAGAAAGCTGTGCACTCAGATTTCTTTAATGGTGAGTTCTGTTGCCTCATTCCTATTGCTGTGGGGACAGAAAATAATTTGCCATTTTGTTATTAGTATATTTTAGATTTTTGTGTGCTTTATTTAATATCTTACCCCAAACAGGGGAAATCCATAGGTCACGGACAGTCTAATATTTCAGGGGGTGGTAGATAGGCTGCATGCAGTTGGGGGACCTAGGCTGCACTCTCTCGGGGTGGGTTGTGGTTAGGGCCAGTTTTAGATGTTTTGGGGTTGTTAAAGCATCAGAAAGCCATGAAACCCAGTGTTACTACCCTCTAAAATGTTGAACTGTCCTGTGACGTCATCTGGGGTAGGATATTAATAAAGCAGCCATTTTTTTAAATATTCAAACATTTAAATATTTGTGACTGGTATAGTATTCACATGTACTTTACTGGTGTAGTTATTGTCTTCTTCCTCTTTGCGTTCACCAGCTGTACACTCTGGTGGAAAGTTCTGGTTGTTCGTCCACTTCTGGACTGCAGTCCTGTTTCAGAACCTGAGTGTTGCGTGTGGATCTGTTTGACAGATCTGACACATTTGAGTGTAGACTGTTAGTTCCTTGCCTCTCGGGCAGATGCACTCCGACTTTGAAGGAAGCTCCCAATTAGTCGACTCTTACAACATGCTTTTGGGCAGGCAGTGGGTCTGTTCTTGTTTTCCCTATAATAGGGCCCCGGAACCCACACGGGGCTCTAGTTATTGTTACAATAATGCCAGATTTGTTTACAATAGGAGACAAGGGTAAAGAAGTACAGAAACATTTTGACAGATTGAATAAGTTCATTATGCTAACCAACATTCTAAAATTCCCAGCAAGCAGTGGAAACCCCCAGGTTTGTACTTGCCAAACCAGGAAAAGTGATACTGACTGTTCCTGCAACATCAAAGCTGTCTTACTGGAAGATTCCTGTTTTAAGGACAGTTAATGGGCATTACTATGTATATCTTCTAACCAAAAAAAAAAAAAAACCCAGAAAAGAAAGAGTCTTACTAGTCTAAGAAGAATAACGTATGCTAGAAATATTAAGTTTCTTCAAGACAAGATGCACCCCAAAACTCAACTTGTGCAGATAACAGCCAAGGATTTGAGTATTAATATTCTTCTTCATGATTGCCCTATTCTCAAGACCCTGGTTGTATTAGATTCTGACTGATCAAGAAATCCTTTTGACCTGCTAACTAGAAGTTTTGTCTGTCTGTCTTAACTGCCTGTATTTACTACTTTTAGACAGTGTTAGAAAAAGAGGGGGGGGGGGGTGGTCATGTGCCTGAAGATTTAAGGCTTCTGGCTGGTGCAGTCATCATGCACTGTGCAGTTTAGGATTTGTATTTTTGGCCCCACAAATTAGCAAGCTTAACATAAGGAAAGGAAAAAAAAAACATGCACAAATACAACTGTCTTTATTGATGGATGAAACAACAGAATCAGGTGGGTGGTCATACAAAAAAAATGGTGACAAATAGGGACACAAAAAGCTGTTGTCAAGTGAAACATAAAAGGAGAGGGGAAATGTACATGACCAAAAAACGAGAGGGCAGATATTGATCCCTGCAGAGCTGATAACACTGGCAGTTTTAATGAGTCCATTTTCCAAAGAAAGACAGCTTGTTAGGTCCCTGGAGCAAGAGTTTATGGCAGTGACAGGGATGGGAATTTTAATGGCCGTGTCAACTGACATTATTGATCTTTTATAACATCTTTTATTATTGCCCCCTCAGATTTCGATGACCTGTTTGATGATGAAGACCTTTCCTGAAAAGTGAGAAACAGATGATGTGAAGTCAAACTTCTGATTGTAGCAGTGCTTGTGATGCTTCATGGCTGCCTTGTGGATGAAAGAATTTGAATTAGGAATTGTATTGTCAGTGATACTATGTGTAGTTTTCTTGTCTGTTATGTTAATAATGACTTGAAGATTGTTGAAAGGGTGCGTTAATCTTGAAATGTATGTAGTGCAGATCTATTAATAGACATGTTTGCAGTAAAATTTACCTACATTGTTAAATACTGGTATGTGGTATATCCATTTTGCATTGTTACTGTTGCAAAATAGCAGTTGAGAGAGACTTGCAGAGAGAGAAAGGGAATGTGAGATATGTGATTAATTCATTATTCGCCATTGCTTGAAAATCCAGATTTTGCATTATTCATATAATGAAGCCAGTAGGGTGTTAATAAATAAATAAGGAATAATATTGTCTTTGTAGTATTCTTTATGGTTGCTGCCTCATTATGAACATTGTTTTTAAATTACTTGTCATATTTCTGGTAGGAAAATATTCCAGCATTTTTGTGTGACATTTATTGATGGATAGCTAGGATATTTATAGTAGATATTCAAATGTATGCACTCAGTAAGAAGAAACTCCACAGGGGAGCATGTACAACAGGTGTTTACCAATCATCAATAGAAGTGATCCCTTGTCCACAATTGTTTCTGCCCATGAGCTTCTAGACAATTTCAGAGGGTGGGCCCCACCTGAGTTCATGAAGCTCAGGCTTGATCTGCTCCTGCTGCAGTATTACGGGATGTTCTCGGACAGGGACAAGACAAAATTGTTGACTATGCAACAGGTACTGTGAGATTCGAAGTTTATTTATAATTGCTGCGGTAGCCTATTAGACCAGCCGGCGTACCTGGACGAGAAAGTGGCAAGCTTACGGTTGGTTTATCACTCACACTGGACAAGGCAGACATTCTGAACAGCATTTATGAATGGATGTGATAATGGATGTAATAATATGTGGAATTTAGTATTGATCCAGCAAGAAAGGATGTATGAAAGGGAGAGTGTGAGACATGAACCAGTTTGTTGTGTTACTGGAACAGTCAACATCTACACCTCAAAACATTAGCTGTCTGAGACAGAGCAGCTATAGGTATGCCCTGAAAGTCATAATGTTGATTCCTAAATCAGGAATCAGTATACAGAGCCTGTCATCCAGTTGATCATGTAGCAATGGATAGTTGGTGTATATCATTACTAAAGATGTTTAACCGCCTAAGGGGTTATGAACACAGTTTTAATAATTAACATCTGAGGTTAAATTTGGCAACAGACTGCTTTACATTGGTTTCCACAGCAAAATGAGTTTTGAATGTTCAGTGAGCAGCAGCATTCTTCTTCTTTTTCTTCTTCTTTAGTCCTATTCTGCCTTTCAGCGACCTGGTTTGATAAGGCATCGTGTGTGAGCTAATGTGGTAAACTGCTGGATCCACACACAGTCAACAGATGGTGGGGCTGGTTTACAATGTCCCATCAAGAATATGCAGCTGACCGAAGTGCTCAGACCTAGACAAATGTCTTCCCAGTTCATCATTAAGCCTCGACATAGTTGAGGGTGACACTACTGGCATGTGGGGCTAGATCTGACCCAGTCCCAGTTCATCATTTAGCCTCGACATAGTTGAGGGTGACACTGGCATGTGGGGGCTAGATCTGTAGCTTATATACTCTTTAGCGCTTCATGGGTGATGTGGTCACCCTCACGCCAGCCACCTTTATGTCCCAAGATATTTCCTGGTGCCCATTTTATCCTAATTCAACCTGGCAGCTCAGGTAGAATTATTAAAAACATCTGCCTTTTTATGAATTTGAACCTAAGACCTTCACATTGTTGGGAAAGATAAGTTGAAGTATATTATTATTGTGAATGTTCCAATGTTTTTACAGAGGCTGCTTTTCACTTGATCATTTCCAGCTGCAGCGTAATCTTCCCTCAAATGTACCAGTTGTAGTGTGAATTTTTTTTTTCAAGGTTTAGAAAGAACGCAAGTTTTGATTCACTATGATCAGCTTGTGTGTCCTTTCTTATTGGTCAGAAATTGGTATTTAGAGATGTTTATTGTCTCAGCAGTGTATTGATTTCTTCTTCTCTATTAGCTTTTAACAGATAGCTGCACATTGTGTTGTTGTTTACAGCTAGGCTGCAACAACTGCACCTTTTGGCCCAACACATCCGATTTGGGCAAATATTTTGCAAACACCTCACTTTTATGACATGTTCAGGGGCATTGGGTCTGTTTCCCCCCCCCCCCCCCCCTCCTTTCCCCCAAACTAGGGTCCCAGATGAGATCTGATATGTAGACAGTATACAGAGGGAATCTGAAACAGTGAAACTTCCTAAAAGATCTGATCTGTCTCCCAGCCTAGCTGGTTAAAGGAGAGGATTCCGGGTTTGCCATATATGATTCTCTACTTTTAAGTTTGGTATAGTTATACCTGGTAAAATATTCTACCGGTTGTTCACTGACTTACAAATGATTACAGTCAAAATTAACTTGTCAAAACTGGAATGACAATTAACATCTGTAACATTTAATCTGGAAAAGTCAAATCATAGGACTGGGGAGATGAAAATGGTCCTGGATTACAGATTGACTTAGTGGACTGATATGTCCACTGATCTGTAGTTTGTGCTGCTTGGGTCAGCTTCTGGGACATTTCAGGGCAGGTTGAATCTGCTAGGCTAGTCTAGACAATCTGACACCTGCAGCTACACTGGAACTAGAACAATTGAACAGTCCCTGTGGTCACAGTTGGGAAAGTTCTGACCAAAGACCACACTGCCTTTAGTCCTCATATATTGTCACACTCTCACACACATATGGAGTAGGGTAGTAACATGTGTTTACATTCTTGAGTGGGGTATAGAATGGTGTTAACTGAACAGAATCTATACTCCTGATGGAAGAAACATTCCATCCATATTAGTTTCTCAAGGATATTTCCTAGCACATGAGTTTAACGTCGCTGAGAGAGAAAACATTCAATTGTGTGAATTGTTCTGCATTAGTACATCTTTCAGGGGTTAACATACTCAAACACAGTTACATTTCACTAAGTGTTCTCAGTTCAACCACATGGGTTCACATCACAAAGAAAGGGAATCTGGGTGTGAAACATAACATGTGATAGGCAGTTCAAAAATTAATGGGAATTATAAATATCTCATTTGATATAACTGGGTGCTGGTAGAGATGTCATAACACAATCATAGATGATAATGGGTTTCCCATCAGTCATAATATTAACATAAAATATTCAACACCAACTCCAGTTTAACTTTAAATGAATACATGTGAAACATTTTTATTCAATAGAGTTAGGAAGTGAGGAAGGGTGAAATATAATTATTAAAATTATTGTGTCACAAACATTGGTACTTAAAATGTCCTCCTGATATTTAGAAATTATATATAGCAATAATTATTACAAGCATGGGCCATACACCTTCCCTTCCTTCTTCTCCAAATCCAATAGATTTAGCCACCACATGGTATTCCCTTTTCAAGCTCTTAAACTAGTCTCGGAATTATCTGGACTAAATCTAAATAAAATCCAGACAGTGATTTATAAAACTAAAATTACCTTGGGGTTAAATAACCTAGTGAGGATTGGGTATAGTGAATATACACCTGTTTCCTTCATTAATCAAATCTCACTATGCTTGAAATCAGGATTGACCCGAGATTTCACATGAGGACATAAATTGCTTATTGTTTAATATAATTATAACAATCAAATACACTAATTTATGTATCCCTCGAAGGGACTTCAAAAACACCATGGTGACTGCAGTTAAGAGCACCTGCTTGTTCACCATGTGTCTGATTTGAAAAGGAAGTGGAAAGGGTTAACGAGGGGGAAGTAACTCTGAGCTCATCATCATTATCTTAAACCACTTCTGCCTTAAAGCGACATGGGGAGGAATAATTTGCAATCCAGTACACGTTGGCTGTCACTGGCTATTGTCATGCCATGAAGACGTAGAGTGTCTTTAATGTTGTTGATCCATGTTTTCTGCAGCCGTCTTCTTGCTCTTGTAGCTGATCTTCTGAGATGTAGTGCTTGTGATGGTATTTGATCTTGCTGCCTTCTAACGAGATGGCCAAACCACTTGATCTGCTGTTTCTCGATGAATCTAGTACAAGGTGCCATTCCCACAATTTGTCTGATAATGTCATTTTTCACTTGATCTCGGATGGTTAGGTTGGCTGCTTTTCTCAGGCACCTCATCTCGCAGGTGGTGATTTTGAGTACATGGGCTTTAGATAGTGTCAATGTTTGGCACTGGTAGCTTAATGCTGGAATGAATATACAGTTAATAATCTGTCTCTTTGCACTCATAGATATGCTTGGATGTCTTAATAATGGTGACAATTGGTATATAAGTGCACTTGCTTTCTGACATCTGGTTTTTATTTTTCTGTCAATTCCTAAATATTTAACTCCGTAACCTGATTCATACCAGAATGATTCAGCTGCATGTGTAGAGCCAGGGGTTCTTCTACTAACGTGCATTGTTTCAGTTTTGTTTGCATTGATCTTCATGTTATATTTACTGCAAGCTGACTTATTCTGGTAATGTGGTCTTGCAGTCTATCTTCTTCAGGGTAGAACAAGCACTGGTCGTCAGCAATAGTAGTTCGTTTAATCTGGGTGAATCGATTACTTCTTCTGATGTGTGTACTTCCTTATGATTATAACGATCCATGTTGTCTATATCAGAACTTGCTTCGTTAGATATTCTGTCTATTTAAATGTTAAATAAAAGTGGGGAGAGCACACATCCCCGTCTCACACCTGTGGTGACCGTGAACATATCTGATATGCCTTCTTGTGTTTTTACTGCACTATGGTGTGTGTGGTACGTGGCTATGATGTTCTCTAGTAACTGTCCTTGTACCCCTTAGTTTTCAATAAGAGACCACAGTTTGTTTCTATCCATTCTATCGAAAGCCTTTTCCTGATC